GCTATTGTGGAAGCGAATCCATCGCAAACCACGTACGAGTTAGCTGCAGGCTGCGGTGTTAATGATAAAACTGTTTTAATCCACTTGAAGCAAATTGGAGAGATTAAAAAGCTTGAAAGGTCCGCGCTTCGACTGTTGCGTTACATTACTTAACCGGCACTATAATGAAGGGTTTTTAAATCGAATCATTACGTGTGATGAAAAGTGGATTCTCTACGATAATCGGAATCGCTCATCGCAATGGTTGGACCCTGGCATGCCAGCTAAATCCTACCCCAAGCGAAAATTGACCCCAAAAAATTTACTTGAAAGCGTTTAGTGGACTAGTGCCGGTGTCGTTCATTACAATTTTCTCAAATCTAGCCAGACGATTATGACAGACGTCTATTGTCAGCAATTTAAACCATGCTGGAAAAACCTGGCTGGTCAATCGCTCTACGCCACTGCTACTTCACGACAACGCTAGACCACACAATGCACAACAGACGGCTACCAATTTAGAAGAGCTTCAATTGGAATGTCTAAGACATCCACCGTACTCCCCGGACCTTGCTCCAACAGATTACCATTTGTTTCGAAATTTGGATAACTTCTTGCAAGGGAAAAAATTCAACTCGGATGGGGCAGTGCATATCGTCTTCATAGATTTTATTGATTCCCGTCCGAATGGCTTTTTAGTAAGGGGATCAATGAACTATCTATGAGATGGCAAAAGAGCATAGATAACAATGGTTTATACTTTGATTAAATAAATATATTAAAAAATATTCGACTTTTTGTTTCATACGTAAGGACCTCATATTTACTCTTCCAATAGAGTTATTTTTATTCCTCAGTCATTCATTTATTAATGATTTATAAAGATTAGACATTTCTAAGATATAACGCTTGTTCTTTTTACTTGGATTCTTTCCAAGTTCAAAATCAACAAATAACGTTACACTTCCAATACAAAGGACATCGTAGTTTAATATTGCCTACATTAATATGAACTCTATACTTAATAGAAAATGTTTCTTTGGTAATAGATAAAGTTGTAGGACGTAATTTTAGGATTGCCGAGTCAATGCCTAGTAGTTTAATTTTAAGGGTTTACACTCAATCACAGGACAAAAACATGTACTTAGGTCTGTTAATTTTTATTTCAATAAGTTTCTGTTTCTTATCGACTTCTCTAGAATAATCTAGTTACAACTATTCCATTATATAACTATTCCATTATAAAGAGCAAGGCAAAGATTATTATATTTGGCAGATTATTATTTGTGAATTGTTTAAAATTACACATTCATTGTTTTCAATTTTTATGATTTGGAACCTAAATAATCGTGATTAAGATCGTATTTATTGAGTCTTTTTACATACTTTATGTGAACAAGATCTATTTTAATAAAATTTGGGTTGGAATGAGATAGTCTGCTCTTATAGAATTTCTTACACATTAAAAATTTAGAAAGGGCTTTCCTAACTTTTAACTTAGTTAAGTACTTATTTCAAAAATAAAAAGCCATTGCTTTAATTCTACTATGATGAATGGTTAGAAAAGGTAATCCAATCATTATATATACTGAATAGTTACCGTTGTTCTAAGTTTCCGTACTAAACTAACAATCTATATTTAGATTTTGATCATCTCTCGTTAAATAACTTATCAGAGGCGAAAGCAATTCCGTTAATGATTTTCACTATTATAAGGTATAATTTTTTCCAACAAAATTGCCTCTATTATTAATAACTTACATAATCCTTCATCACTTACCCGTTAGACACGAACAAATCATAAATTTAAGATTCTAGTTTCATATAGTGAGACATACTGGGTACAGAACGGTTATTGTGCTTATCCATTAGCCGTATTGTATTCAAATTACTATTGATAAAAAGCAATAAAGCATGTGCCATTTTATAGTTTTATTACTGACCTCCGTCTAAAGATAAACTATAACTGCCGAAACTATATTATAACTTTATATTATTATTATCAGTGCATGGTCATCCTTGCGATGATGCCAATTCATATTCACACGCAGTGGCGGACTAACCCTGTCGGGGGCCCGGGGCGACATTAGGTCCGTACCTACAACTTTTTACAACTGGTGCAGAAACTTGATATTGTGTTTACACCGCCACCCCTGCTGAGACGGCTGCTAAAACTACGAAACTAAGAAAGATAAGGCAGTATAACCCCAATTTATGATTTGATCAAGGGAACTTTCAGCCATTTGGAGGCCCCCAAAGATAAGAGGCCCGGGGCGGACCGCCCCCTCCGCCCCCCTTAGTCCGTCACTGTTCACATGTAACTTAAATAAAATTAGCAAAAATTCATAAGTAAATAGCGCAGATAACCTGATTTTGGCCATTTAAAAGTATTGAGCTTATTAAAAATGAAGAAACTTAGATACACATGAACTGTAGAAGAAGTAAAGTTTTATATATCGCAGCTGAGAATGATATATAAGCTTTTCCGTAATTCAACATTTTAAAAATCGTGTATGATAAAGTTATATATACCTTTTTGCCTATAATACTAAAGCTGAAAAGTTTATTTGCTTGTTTGTCTGTTTTATTGAACTCTATAATCTTAGTAACTACTGGTTCGAATTTAATTATTAACCGAGGAAGGGTATGGTCTATATAACATCACGCTATGACTAATAGGAGTTGAGCAGCAATGAAAAATGTTGTAAAAACGGGAGAATATTTTACTAGTTGAGTTTTCGTTGCGTGCGCTGCGTAAAAAGGATAAGCGCCGCGGCCTGCGATCGTTGTTGTTAAACAACTTTCGCAAGGATCGGTCACGGGATGGGTGACCAAAAAATTATTATCTCGAGCTACTTCGTGATTTGGAAGGCATGTTAAGCCGTTGGTCGCGCTGCATTTGCAGTCGTTAATACCGTCCAATCCGCATTGGGCCATCATGGAGGGTCATGGCCCATCCTCCTCAACCATCCATAAGGAAGGCCTGAGCCCCTGCAGTGGGGCCGTAAAAAGGGCTGATTATGATGATGATGCGCTACGTAAACAGTGAAAGTTACGCAAAAAGCATGTATTACGAAATGAATCCCCTTTAAAAGTTCTAAAAGAAAGTCCGCAATAGCATATGTCTATTTTATATCTTATCCTCTAAAAAGCATGTAAAGAGATGAAAATGGGAGCAGAAGTTATATAGGGCATTAAATAGTTAACATAACAACCATTGTTTACAATTCAATTTGTCATTGGCATTATATTCCATGTCATCCTTTCTTTCCAAATCTATTATTATATGATTTAAGCTGTTTACGCAAGATTAAATAATTTAAATGAATACAATTGTTGTCGATATGGTACACGAAAATGTTACATTTAGCTGACGCTACTAATCACTAGATGACGCTACTCTACTTTTGGGGATTTTGATATTTGTTATGTTTGTAATCATTATTTTTCCGATTTTTATCAAACAAATTAGCTTTAGTTTTAAATTTTGCGGTTTTTTCAATAATACCTTTTAATTGGGAATTATTAATAGTGGAAAAAAATAAATGTTACATTTAGCCGATGCTCATATACTTACATAAAACGGGATTTTGATTTCTTTAATGTTTGATGTCGTTAATGTTTTTCCGATTTTTATCAAACAAAGTCGTTTTCATGTTCGAATTTGTTGGTTTTAGGGATCCGTAGTCAACTAGGAACCTTATGGTCGGTCCGCGGTTCAGCTCAAGATTGGTATTAGAAAGGTGTAATTAAGCATGAGTATACAAGTTCATCACGCAGAGAAAAATAAGGCGAAGAAGGATGTGGGAAGACCTTTTTTTCTATTAAGTTAACCGTTCGTGTCTTATTAAGCTTCAAAGTGCCAATTTTCCTTAGAGTCAAATGCCTCCCCCCTTTACCAACTAAACGGTTGTTAATAAAACTCAAACGTCAGTACAGTAGTATTTATATATAACGAATGAAATAGGACAACTATCTTACTAAAGGTAGCTTTACAAGTTTACGAGTAATAATCGTCCAAATGAATTTGACTAGAAAATTTCGATTAACTTTGTAAATAACAAACCTGATTTGTTTGCATTTTTATTGATTACAGTTTGCGCTTGCCCTTTTTCTTTAATATTTTAATGTAGAATTATACATCAGACGACAAAATAATATGGGTGTCTATTAACGAGAATATTTGCTCAAAATGTACTTAACTGCCGATAATTACGAATTACTAATGATAATTACATAAAATACTTGAAATGAGCTAGGAATGGGATAAGTTTTATCTACAATAACAACTAAAATTCTAAATATCAGAGTTAAATAATAATTTGGGCGTTAAAATAGTGAGTGAACGTAACCAGAATCGTTCGATATCTATAAATTGAGGAGATAGCAGACTATCCGTTGACATCATTTAATTTGGCGTCACGCACCAAAATCTCTGAAAATGCTGAATTGAGAATCTAAGCACAAACTGACCGTGAAGTAGCTATAAGGATCAGTTGTAGGATCTTGCATAAGCAAAGCATCAGTCTAAAAGCCTTTATTTGAAAGTCCAAAATAAGCACAGTAGTCAAATCCAAGCAAAATGACGGCGTAATTATTAAACAATAAAAGGGCTATTTTTTTTCAAAGAAAACATTTGTTTATATTTTTGCGATTCTACTGCGCACAAAAATGTAAAGAGCAACTGGACTATTCTTTAAAGACTTACGCGTTATCCACAAAAACTGCGGTATATTTTACTTAATTGGTCCATCTATTGAGCAGGCCTATATCCTAACAGTGAGGACGTTGATAAGCTTAATATATGGATAAGATTAGCTTAAGACTCTAGTATAGCAGGCTAGTGTGCTCACACACAGCACTCTCGAACCACGTGGTCGAAGCTGCGGGTTACAGCTAGTATTTTAATAAGTTTGAACGACATAAAGTTCCAAATGGCTATATAGGACCTATGGCCGAAATCAGGTCATCTGTGAAGTTATAACAATGTTCGGGAAATCAATATCTACAATTAAACTTACCTATTGCAGTTTTAGTGCGCACATTTCGAGAGTAGCACATCGGATGTAGTATGGCCCAGTAGCGGTCCACGGAAACGGCGACGAGGCAGAAGATGCTGATTGTACACAACATTACCAGCAACGACACGGTGAAAAGGCAGGCATGAAGATTCCTCGGCAAGCCCACTGATGCCAATATGGCGAAAGGTATTCCGAGCAAACCGACTAGAAAGTCTGCAGTAGCTAATGACACTATGTAATAGTTCGTTCGTCGCCTCAATCGGCGGTCTCTCCTAAACACGTAGATCACCATAGCATTCCCAATCACTGCCACGAGAGCCACTAATATTTCTAGACTTGTATAAACCGCATGCAGCTCAGGAGTTGGCGACCTATGAGGAGCTGGCGCCGACGTTGAAAAATCAGTAGTGATTTCTTCAGCCATACCTAATAAACTAGTCCAACTTTAAACCATATTTTGCGCGTTATCATTTTATTAAAAAAACTTTCTAAAACTCATAAAAAAGTTACCAAGTATCGTACTTCGTCTGACGTTGAAATTTAATTTACTAATTTCCATTGTGAACGTTAAGAAATTGTAAACAATAAAAACATTTATGATACGTCACTGATATCGAAACGATAGGTGTTTTAGGAGAACACGGAACGTTTGCAGACACATGTCCCGCCCGCGGCACGCATTTCCCGCCACTGCGAACTCTGACGTGAAACGAACCGCGCGACGCGACGGGACTCGCGCCCTGCGACGACGACGCGGCCCACACTTGTTGCGGCTAGGCGGCTGTGAAACGACACCTCACCCTTGAAAAAAGAATCGTGTTCGCTACCAGTATACCTAATTATAAGATAGAAATACGATACACAATTTGCCGAGATTTATATACAGGATATATGTTTAATTTTTTGAAACAAACATTTCATCGAAATTTAGCTATTTAATATTTATTGTGATCAATAGATGTATTACTATTTAATAGGAGCTCGATGGTGCAGTACCCAAATTAAACACCATTGGCACGGGCCCGCTCATACGATGGGTGACCAAAATTTATTATCTTGAGCTCCTCCATACTTCAGAAGTTACGATGAGCTATTGATCCCGGGTGTAACTATAGAGTACCCATTTTTCATTTAATCAGCGTAGGAATCATTCCAATCAATGAGAAAATAGCACTTTTTAATTTCAAACGGTATAGGAACACAGTTAAATTTTTATATTTTGATTAATTTTGCATTCACAATGCCATATTGAAAATATTATTATTATATTACAGAGCGTATTCTCATCAATGTTCTGTAGTAGCGAAGAGTAACAAGTGCTTGTTAGATTTGACAGTCCTGTTAGGTCCTGGGTAGCTCAGTGGTTAGATCAGTCACCCGGATTGCGAAAGGTCGTGGGTTCGATTCCCATCTCAGGGTGCCAGAGACCAAGTGGATTTTTTAAGCATTTGTATTAATAACAGTTTAATTTATTATTAAAAATAAGAGTTTCGTTTGTTATAATATTTGAGTCATGTATTCTATTTTATCATTACAGAGTCAACACTGATTTATTAAGCTCTATTTAAAAATTATTTATTGAAAGTATGACATACTTAATTTCCAGACAAACACCGAACGTTCTGTTTTACATTTCATTTTATATAAAATCTTATTTTGTGATGTTAACAATATGCTGATGAATGACAAATTATAACTTTGTAATTCATTAAAATACATAAAAGTACATGTTAAAATATTATTAAATGCAGATAAAACAGTAAAGAACAAAATTAAAACAAATGGACAAACCATTACTATAATATTGTAAATCTCAAATATGTTTAAATATTTATTATGATATACCGTTATATTTACAAAAACAAATGCATAAGGTAGCCATTAGGTAATTCAACGTGATTCAGTTATTAGAAGAACATTGAATACTGTCAATACAAAAAACATTGTAGTCTAGGAGGTATGACAAATATGTGCAAGAGCTTTCTGAAGCTTGATATGCATTTTAATATGCATATTGAAGTACTATGAATAACATATTGAAGTAAAAGTATACATTACAGTACCCAGAGACCCAGAGAGCGAAGGTTAGCAGAGCGATTCCGTAAAAATATGAATCCGAATTGTAATTCACTCAGATGTCCGCATTCATTTCGAAAGCGACATCCGCTTTACCTTGAATGAAGAAGTATTTTAAGAAAAAAAAAAGAAAGCACTAATGGCGACTCTACTAAAAGTTTATTTTTGCAGGAAACGAATAGACCAAACAGTCATTTCCGTTTCTTTTAACTGACATATTATTAAACTAAAAGTTCGAAACTTAGATAACAATACAAATAGCATATGAGTTGTTTATTGAGTTTTGAAAATTAATTTACTTTTATACGTGAAAGAAAACCGGAAGGGTTTTCATGGAGAAATCAAGAAAGTACCGTAGCGACATCTAGTGTGATTTCAGGAGCTAATGTTTTTTTTTAATTCTTTCTCATTGGAATTAGCGTTTCGTGAATATGTGATAAGTGAAGTGAGTTTGGAAATGACATAGGAATAAAATATCTGATACACGTATGAATAGATCAATCTTTTTTGGATTTTTACACTAATTTCTACACTAATATAAGATAAGCGGATTGACTTTCGAAGTGATTTCGGATACCTAAGTGAATTCTAATTTGGATTTTTTACGGAAACGCTCTGCTGGTTTTGGAAGTTGGAACACCTGGGGGCGGCGGGGCAATGTAAAGTACGAAATATCGTAACACATAGGTGGTATTTAGTTATTTAAAATTTACGTGCTACGTGTTCTTAATATACAATAAAAAATTAAATTGCTCAGATTGTACATTCGTGAAACGCAGCGATCTAAGAAGTTACAACAGACGTTAAACGCTAATAATTTAGAAATTACTAAATTATTATTTATTGTCTTAATAAAATACTAACATTACTTTCATTTAATCGAACAATTATATTCAGGATTATTTCCCGCCGCCGCCGGTGTTCCAGCGCCTGACCACAGAATATATAGGTATATAAACAGAAAATAATCAACATACAAACTGCGCTCGAAAAACACACAGACAAAAATCACCAACATAATGTCTTGGACCTTTTCGAATCAGTGCGACAGACACTTTATTACAGACATGCGTCTGTGAACTTTTTAACAAAATAAAATAAAAAAGTGTTATTCCAACTATTTAGTCCATGGTTATTTAAATTCAACATTAAATGGTGAAATGTCGTTTTTTAGGCTACAAGTTTTAGAGAGGTGAGTAGTGATACAAGTAGTATTCCCCTAAAGGCAACCTTAAAGAAATTATGTGTATAAAAATACTCATTTACTTACATGAGTATTGCTAGTGAAATAAAAAATTTTTGTAAGGCAAATTCACGTTAAAAAATAACGTAAATTGAAAACATATTTTTTTATTTGTGTAGATATTATGTCGTTTTTTTGCGTCGATTAATAGGTTTAGATCTTAAATGGATTTATTACTCATTACAATACAATATGCGTGCCTATCGTTAATGCTAAAATCGTTGCAACAAAATAATCTGTTACAAATTTGCTAAAAAATATTACATTCATAATATTTTCATTATTAATAGTTTATATTTCTTTTTTTTCGCAACAACAAATCAAACGACTAGATACGAGTATCACTACTACAATAGTTTTTCATGTGTAAGCCAAAATTGACAACCTTTATGAAACCGCCAAGCAAAGGTTACCTTCAACCTTTGCTTGGCGGTTGCACTAAGGTTGTCAACTTAACCTTCAAAGGTTAGTCACTAGGTATTGAGTGATGTATACCTTTAGTACTCTTGCACATTTTTGCCAAATCTATTATTTTCCCCATCTATTACTGTTTATGGATAATTAACTAGGTTCTGAATGCAACCTGTTCACGAAGTGAATCGGAATACCTATGTCCAAGAGATTCATTCTACCTACTTGATCTAAATTTGGATGGAAATTAAGCATAGCCTCCCAACAAATTTCACTGAGCTTTGGTATACGTAGCCACACTTTATAAAGAATGTTATTTCGACTTGTTGCATCCTCTTTAGGTTCTATACCACCAAAGACATACATGCAACCATATGAAGTTACAGTTGATGAGTGGAAGTATAAAGGATTTGGCAAAACAGTCTTCTGCATTAGGTTCCACTGAAGATCTGGCAAATTCAGCCTCCAAATGTCTTCAAAAACGCCTTGACCGTCTGACCCTCCTGCTACAAAGACTTGTACACCGCTGGGTGTGTCAATTTGAACTGCACTATGACATTTTCTTGGAAGTGGCGCCTGGCTATCTTTAATAGTATCATCAGCTTTTGGTGTTAATATAGACCATGTGTTGGTTTCTAAGTCATACATTGGTAACTCCATCAATTCAAATGCCCATTCACCAGTCCCACCTCCAATTATATAAAGTTTATTGTCTACACGAGCTACTTCATGCCTATATCTTCCAATGGGCTCACCTTCTTGTCCTGTGCCAACAAACACAGGTTCCCAAACCAGTGTCCGTAAGTCTAGCCTAAAATTATTTTTTTATTAAAATACTTATCAAGTAAAGTATTTTAAACATATAAACACAATTATGAAATAATAGATACAAACCTATAAATATCACAGTTATATGCAAAACCATTAGTCCCTCCAACTGTGTAAAAACAACCATTGTGGCATAGTATTGCTTGACCATATAAACCTGGTGGTCTAGTCCCAGTGACATCCAAGACTTGCAATCTCGCATCACCAGCACAAGTCCTCCATACAATGACATCATTACTACATCTGTTGCCAAAGGGTGCACCGGTACCACCAAAAATCTAAAAGAAAAAGGATTTAATATCAACATATGGTGAATAAATCTATTATTCATCACTGTAGATATCTAGATACAAACCATTAAAAATCTGCCATTCATACACATAGCATTAGAAGCCAATTCTTCTGGCATGTTCTCTACTACTCTGTGCTGTTTCCATTTTCGACTAGCTATCGAAAAACTCCATAGCTCTTTAAAAAGAGGACGTGCTGGGCTCCAAGTTGAATTTTCTCTTTGTAAATGTGATAGCGGTAAAGAGGGATTGTAGCCACCAAAACAATATATGTGTGCATCATCACATGCTATCCTATGACCGCTTCGAGGTCTAGGCCAGTCAGAACCTCGATATTTGACTTCAGTAACCTTAAACGGCTCGAAAACGTATTCAGTCCGTGAAATCGACATAATGTCCAACGCTACTGGTATTACATTAATTTCAAGGAACCGGATACAGTGAATTTAGCACTTTGTTAGCACAATTTTGTTTAGTTTTTATTTATAAATCACTCACATCACAAAATAAACCTGAGACAAAAACCAACACAAGTCGATGTTGTCTTGACAATGACAGCTTATTGACATTTCATAATTTCGTTTAGGAACATAGTAGGTATTTCTATTGAAAATACAAAAATACAATCCCGCGTAAGTTATGTACAGTTTTACTATAAAAATGTAAGGAATTTCAAATACACCTTCATTTTACGTTTTTCTGATGATGAAATTTTTATATATGGGAAAACCGATATTTTTGATATTGACGTCTAATTATATCGATGTTTAGCGATATCGAATAATACTAACATATAAAAAGCATTTATCAAACTACATCTAAAGAATTTAAATATAATTTTGGGTATTGCATCCCGAACAAGGTCAAAGAATTTGTCCTCTACTACATGACGCTGACTCTGTTGCAACTCTTTCTACAGGCTCAATGCGTCCCTTTCTACAAGGCCTTTTTTTAGGATAGTAAGGACCAGTTTCACCACCTGCTAATAAAGTCCCTGATAGCCTATTAGAAACTTATCTGCCAGATAAATTGCAAATTTTGGTTTCACAGATAAACGTATTTGTCAGATATGTTCTTTTTTCAATCTTAGTGCATTTTTTTGGAAGCGATCATGGATTGGTACGGTACCATGGATTTGGGTTTATTTAAATTGTCGGCAAATGAATTTGACCAATACTATAATAAAATTAAAACCCGGTAATTGGTATGTATTGAACTTTATTATGCACGGTTGCTTGAATTCCTTTATGTAATTAAATTATGTACTTCCACGCTACCATTTTCTAGTAACTGCCAACCCAGCAAGGGATACGGCGTGAAGATATAGATAGAAATAAGTAACATCAGCCCTTTCGTCCCACTGCAGGAGCTCAGACCTTCCTAATGAATGGTTAAGGAGGATGGTCCATGTCCCTCCACATTGGCCTAATGCGGATTGGAGGATATTAGTATTAACGGCTTCAAATGCAGCCGGGACCAACGGCGTACGTGCCTTCCAAAGCACGGAGTAGCTCGAGATATTTTTTTGGTCACACATCCCGTAACGACGAATGACCCTTGCGAAAGTTGCTTAACAACAATCGGGGGCCGCGGCGTTTATTACACTACACAATCAAGTTATTCAATAGGCAAATACGAGAAAAAGCAGTATATTTTATATTTTAACACTCGCTCACTCACAGACAGTCGCTTAAGTAAAAAAAAGTCAATGCATAGCTTCAGATGATACGAGCAATTAAAATTATTTTACTCGTTTACAGGAAGAAAAATATACATCGCCGACGAATTGTGTCCGACCGAATGTTCGATTTCGGTAGTTTCAGCAATAAAACGGGATTCTGTTAACTTGCCGAAACTACAACTGAAAGCGAAGCTGCATTCGAGCGTTCTCGCGCTCTGATCGGTGGTTTTGTTCGGCGCATTGAATTTCATCCAATGGGCAGGCCCGTCTTTATCCATGGTGCAGGAGGTGCAATGCACCCCGGCGCCGCGCGTTGGGGCGCCGCGCCAATGATGGTCTAATATAAATACATGTCAAAATTGAGCTGGGGGGCGCCAGAGCACTACGCACCCAGGCGCCTATTGTGCTTAAGACGGGCCTGTCTGAAGATCGATGACGAAAAAATTTGCCGCGTCTTCATAGCTAAACATCTCGTGATTCGCTTGTTTTGATGATTTTTGATGTGAGTTTTGATGTAAGGTGCTGTGGTGTAATCATGTTTGTTATATCAAATTAAAAGTATTTTTGTTTGTTAATTATATCAACAGATGATAAACACCAACGCCTAATTTGGTAGCAATTCGTCATTTTCATTTTAAATAGAAAAAGAATTTAGTAAACTCCTTCATTAGACCAAATAAAACTACATATGGATAATGATTAATTTATTTATCAATATCATGTAGGTAGACACTTCGAAAGCTACAACTACCGTCAACCTGTATTAAATAAACATTCACATTTTAATCACAATTATATTGTTCACTATTGTATAATAGCAGAAATTCAAATATCAGAAACTGTATTCCCATATCAACAATTACAAATGATATTTCCTTGTTACAAAAACGATATAAAGCGATAGTATACCTGATGAAGTGATATAATCTATAACAATCTTTATAATATATGTAGCACGATTATATTGTTTTAAAATTTTCCATTTTTATAGATATTTATTCAACATGAAAATGTGATAACATCTAAAACATAAAAGCATTGTTATCTTTGAATAACTAATAGAATAAAAGATGATCCAATACTAAGCATATTTTGTGTGGTTAATTAAGCTGCCCGTTGCATGCCGGTGGCAAATAAAACTTTCTTGGACTTTTTGTTTTTCTTAGTCGATGGCGAAGGGGCTGCGTGTAGGGCTGCTTCGATGGCGTCGCTAAGGCTGAGAGTGCGGGGCGCCGCAGGCTCTTCGTCGGAAGGCTGCAGCGGTGGCGGCGGTGGAGCTTCCACTCGACGGACACGCCATGTTCCGCTTGTACTAGCCATCTATAAAATAACAAAACTAATTATAAGAAACAAAAAAAATAAATATGGATTGTGTAATAAATAAACGATAACCTTAATATTTACGACCTGGAGGTCGTGGCAGTAGCTCGCACGCCGGTTACAAGGTTCTCTGTCTGAGATCCCGGGTTCTATGTTTTTTCAAGTCTGTGTGTTGTGACACCGTCGTTTCAGATTTCCATAATATAAATTTAGGTACTTAATTTTACTACTACATCTATCGTTACTCTTAGGCAAAGATAACCCTTCCACCTCTCCTCCCTATATGGGGTCCTCTTCCTGCGATCTGTGATCATAATGACTTCCAGACTGTTATCTAATTTAAATAAAATACCGTCATATACTACCTGCTTCATTTGCATACAACCAATGGCTAAAACAGTAAATTCTAATATTAAGTGCATTTCAAATGGAGAAATCCCCATATTTAGCATAATATAATGTATACAGTTAACTAAAGATCGCAGAATCACCTTTGCAAATGAGGGTCCTGAAGTAGAAGGAGACTGACTGACTGTTGTAGTAGACGATGGTTCTTCTATGGACGTCGACAGCAACGGTGGGTCGAGAGGTGAGCAACTGAGGGCGGCGGGAGGGAATAGCAATTCTGACGAGAAGTCAGGCTTAGGCGGGCCTTCCATAGCCCGCCGCCATTCCCGTTCACGACGTCTCTCTTCCCGCTCATGCCGGGCGCGAATACGGGCACGACGCTCTAACTCCTCTACAATAATATGGATAATGACTAATTTTTGTTTGTTAGTCGGTCAGTTAGATTATTGAAGAATATTAAACACGTTTTTTTTTGCATAATCAAGTAATTATGGCGATAAGAGTTGAAATGTCGCATGACGTCATGCTAGTGAACATTTTCTACAAAACTATGACGTAGTGAGCCAACTTTAATGCCTATTATGCAAACCATTTCTTGCTTAGATGCCTATTATCACATTGAAGCAAAAAAAAATACGTATCTAATTACTTTCTATTATCTGGATGACAGAAAATTTCTAAAATAAATAAATAGTATTTCTTTGTTTCGTCCAGTCGTCAACCGTATTATGATTTCTACATTCTACATAATGTTTATTTTAATTTAAATACAATCTATACCTATACATAGTATAAAACAAAGTCGCTTCTTACTATCCGCAAAGATCTTTAGTCTACATAACAGATTAAAATGCGGTTTTCGCCAATATACAGTGATCCAAGAGAAGTTAATATGTATTATACAGGACCACTGTACGTTATATAGTATTTGTTATATAAAACAGTTAGATACAAACCTGAGAAATTTTTAAGTGCCACATCTGTTACAAATGGTGGTCGAAGATCCATTTCAACAATATCAAATGCACAATAGAGTGGCAAGTGAGCAGTATAGGGCATGTGTTTTCTTGTCTGAAACAATATAATTTTATTATTTTTTAGTTTTATATTGATATGTGGCTTCAAGAGAAATTACTAAGAAATATATTATTTTATGATAATATAATTATTTTATAAAAATATATTTCTTAGTAATAATAAATATTTCAAATTGTAGTGGGTTTGCAAGCACGTGTATTAAAATCATCTCAATTATTGCAATTTTGAGTTTCAACCACCTTTAAAATTGACGTGATTTTATATGAAAAAAAATAATTGCCAAAATTTTGAAAAATATTTTTGTAACGCAAATAGTTCCTTGATATCGTAAATACGATATCAAGGAACTATTTGCGTTACAAAAATATTTTACAAAATTTAATTTAAAAATATTTTACTAGAAGTACGTACGCGGAAAAGGCTGGGAAACGCTGTTTTACAAAATACTTTGACCTAATGCAAACAATGAATTCGATTCAGTGATACCTAGACTGGACAGATAGCATCATACAACATGGCCAGTAAATGGAAATAGGCATTTCTGTATAAAAAAGTGTATAATACCTGTTCTGTCAGTGGTAGCGTTTCACGGTGAAGGACACGGCCACGAATTAATGACGGTGCAGCGGAAAGAGTGCCCCATGAAGCATTCAAAATGCGCACGTTCAAGCTATTGAGGAACACTTGTTGACCATCCTCAGCTGAAAACAAAACGATGATACAGAATAAATAAATTTTGACATACTTAATACGCTACGACGACTTCATTAAAGCTGTAATGAAAGGATAATCATATAAATACTTGGAATAGTACATTTAATGCAGAATTTTTTTTTTTACGGTTACTACTTGATTGTTTTCGAGCGTCGATATTGTAAGTGTTAATTTTTAAGATGAGTTTCCTTATAATTTAAGACTGAATTACAATTTCGTATGCTTAGTTAAAACACAACAATTAAAAAAAAACTTGAAAAACATAGAATACCTTGATAAAAGTAGAAATATTTAGCTTGATTCTGCTTATCAATAGTAGTGACAGAAGGACTATTGTCAACAGTTTGTTCCTCTTGCTCTTGTATTTCATATTCAATCAAAGGGAATTCTTCTGATTGATTATCATTAATATCATTATGAAGGAATATTGGAGCATTTGGATTCAAACTGGATTCATCAATATCAAGGTCAGACATTTGACTCTGAAGTTGATCAATACCACTGGCTTCATCAGGTACATCAAACCAATCAATTCTTTTATCATTAATCAACTGTTTTTCGTAGACTATAGGAACTTCTTCTTCCGCCATATTCTCCCCGATTTTTGGTGTGTCAATTTGTTCCTTTATTTTGTCCTCTTTTTTCTTAAGAATATTCAGAGCTTGTTCCATATAAATTATTTCAGTAGTATCAATTTCTGCCAATATCTGATTTTGAATTTCATTTCTTTCTCTCTCTAATATTTCTTGCACCTAAAAACAGCAAAATGTTGATGTAAGTGTAAATGTCAGTAAGTAAATCTATTTAATCTATATTAACGTTATAATTGTTAAATATATTTTCGCGAATAGGCTTAAAGGGGTTTTACGAAGGGCGACAATAAACTAAATTCACGCGGAGAAAACCGAGTGGAAAGCTATTAATTAATTAATATAGATTCATAGTACCTGTTGTTTTGAAGCTGTAAAAAACTTTGAGTATGGTGCCTGGTTTACGTTTTCTAAAGGCATAATTGACGGTTGTTTTGTGTCAGCAACACCACGAGGTGGAGCTATTTCAACAGTAGTTGAACCTCTAAGACGACGCACCAGCCTCATTGTAACCTACAAAAATGATATACATAAATATTATTTTAACACAATTTACTTGATAATATAAAAATTATATCCTATTATATAAGAATAATTTGTATTAAGTAGGTACACTTTTTTCTTATGCTTTAGTATTGTAATTTTTACCTATGGTTTAATATTGTCACTAGAACACATTAACGAAAATTATTGTTTATTTCATATTTTAATACAAAAATTTATTTAATTATTTATCGAAATTTTAATATCAATTTTAATAGTAGCGAACAGACTAGATATATTGACAAAGATCAATCATCAACCACCAGATACAGTACAGTATGTAAATAGGGAACAATATATTATATACTTTTTTCTTTTTTTTATCCTCAATGTTAGCAGGTAAAAAAAGAGAAAACTTAAGTATAATTTGATGAACAATATTAAATGTCATGCACTGATTTAATTTTTTTCTTGTATAGAAAGCTAATGTTACAGCAATCATAGTCATAATATTTATTACACCATGTTGGTACATATGTTCTTACATATATTTTACTATAGACAGTTAAGTTGAAAAATCGGTCAAGTGCGATTCGGACTTGCGCATAAAGGTATTAAAAAAAGGTATTAAATGAAAAAATGTATATTTTTTTTATTGTTTTTAACTATTTCTTGTTATAGCGGCAACAGAAATACATTCATCATCATCATCAACAGTCGTACAACGCCCACTACTGAGAATAGGCCTCCCCCTTTTATCTCTACAATGATCAGAAATACATTATTTGTCAAAATTTCAATTTTCATACTTCATGAGAAACAGCCTGGTGACAGTCAAACAGCCTGTAAGCAGAATCTAAGTAATAGTTTTTGTAAGGTTTAGTAACATATCAAAAATTTGGTTTAGTACACACCTCTTCGGCAGGTGCCTCCCATTGCACCATTCTAGTTGGCTTCATGTCTTTGACATGTAATGGTGTGGCGCAGACGGGACACGGCGGTGGTTGTTTTTCATTAGCGACCGCGTAGTGAAGTACGCAAGCCCAGCAATACACGTGTCCGCATAAACCAACACGACCCGCCGCCGGTGCACCCAAACAAATCGGACATTCTGAACTGCCAGTACTACGTACCACCTTCAAACATATAAATATAATTATTTATGCTGTTAAAAAACCATAAGATTGTCGATTAAATGGTGGAAATGAAATATAAATCCATTTTGTATTCCTACAGATGATATATTAACAGCTATTGATAAATGGGAAAATATTCTATTCATATTTAATCATCAAGAAAAATTGTTTAAACTGTAAAAAATTGGTAACAGCAAAAATTACTGTAAGTATACATACATACAAGTAACTAAACAATGTTAATATACTGTTTAATCAAATGGTTATTCATACGGCAGATCATCAAGTTACCCCAATAAAATATGCGCAGTCGATTTTGAACTCTACGCTCACTAATTTCAAGTACAAATTAAGTGGAAAAATACACATCATTGAAATTCTTTTGACTACCTAGACACTATCGCCACGTGCGTAACTTAAGCAACATAATTTGATGATATTTTGTGATTACTTACAATTTCTTCTATTAGATCCCATTTCACGGGCAAGTCTGGATCCAGCAAATTTGCATCATAATCCCCATCTTCCTTTACTACAAACTGACAACTGAAATAGAAATTATTCTATCAGTTTATAACCCTGGAATTTAAATAAATAATAAGTAGAAAATATAAATTGATTTATATTGTGAAATGACTAAACAAAGGTACTTACACTAAATAGTCAAGGTGTAATCGTAAATATTGGTAGAAATAACTTTTTTTTAAGCTTTTATTAGTGTTTCACCATCAGCCCGTTTATGTCCCTACTACAGGAGCGCAGGCCTCCTGTAGTAGGTTAAGGAGAATGGGCCATGACCCTCCACACTAACGCAGATTGGAGGGTATTAACGACTGCAAATGCAGCCGGAACCAACGACTTTATGTGCTTTCTGAAGCACAGAGTAACAAGATATTTTTTTCTGGTCACCCAGTTCATGACCAACTGTTGCGAAGTCGTTTAATAATAACGATCGCGAGTGGTGGCACTTGTCCACTATGCCACCAAGTAAGATTAATGGTTATATCATTGGAAATTAGTACTGATGTTTATAGAGTTTTCACAATGACTCAATCTGATTAATAGGCTAAATTGTGATTGTCACTTATAGTTTTGAATTTTATCATTTAAAACTATATTTTATGTACACCAAGGTTACCACAATATGTCACATTTTCACAATGGGTTTTAATATCTACCCTCCATGTATTAAGGTTTAAATCAAGTGGGAAAATTGAGTTTTTATAACCTGGAATGCTGTTAACTGTACATTTGATAAAACATAAACAATACTTACTAAGCCCGCAAGTAGAGATCATGGTCATGACGTGCAGTCACTCTTTGATGAGTTGGACGACGAGAATGTGGCTGGTGACCCCTCCGTTCTGGCCCTCCACGGGTGGGATACATAAAGTTAAGCAAATGGTTCAAGTTTTGCTTCTTGCTTCCGGGCACAAATACTGAGCCAATCTCTGGCTCATCATCGTCTTCTATCCTACTCAAAGATAAATAAATAAAAACTTATTTAATGGACAATAAAACAAATTGTATATATACATGTGTACTTATGTTTACTTGAGTTTTTGAATAGAATATATTATATTTTGTTAATAATAGCACCATATATTTATAATATAAATAATGGTTTCAAATTTATGGCTTTTTTATTGAGATAATAAACAGACCCATTGATCTTATATGATGGTAGAATGTCCTAATGTTTGTGTACTGGAAAAGGTTGGGAAACACTACTACACATTTTCATTGAGGTTGAAGTTATTTTTTAAATTTATTTTAGTTGATGTATGTTGCTTCTGAGAGATGATTTCTTCATATGGAATGGCAAATAATGCACTGCATAATATTGCTCTAAAAGTAGCTGTTGTGTAAATGCTGTTTAAAAATGATATTTACCTGGCATCCTGCGCTCCACCCACATTGAAATTGGCAGGACCACGAGGACGTGGGCGCTTATCAACCTGACCTCTACCTCTTTGTGCAGGACCATTTTTGCGATATGGTTCATTCTTAAGTGCAGATCCTTGACCTTCACGTTTCTTGTTGTTTCGGGTCCAAGGTTTGTGTGTCGACTCTAAAAAGTATAGATACTCATAAAATATAATGTAACTTTTTGCCTGTCATGTGCAATTTTTTTGTGTTATTGGTATTTTCAAAGCAAGCCAGGTAAACTATCAAGTATGACAGTGACACATAACTTAATACAAAAATTTTTTTACATCATCTTATTTGTTTCGTAAAAATAACAACATGACTGGTGACGCCATGACGACGTGACCTTTATCCGCTTACCTGAATTTTTTTTACTGTCGAGCGCAGATGCCCTCGACTGCGGTTGGGAAGACCGATTCAATGATTTCTTGTCCATCCTGGAATCCTCCAACATCCACAAAAGTAGCTGAGCGGGACACTCCGCGAGGAGATAACGAAATTACGTGCAAGGCCGACATTTTAGAAAGCCATGTTTATAATACAAAATAAATAAAATTTGCTTTTTCTTTATGTCAAGCTTTACCTAGCGGTAAATAAAAATATATAACACTATGAATACACAAAAAAGGGAGTATTTATTACTCCCTTTCGTCGTTAACGACGATAAATATGAATAACCCGAAAACTATTCTCGCCTCAAATATGGCGAGCAGCCGGCAGTCTGGCTGATTATTTTGGATGCGCACTTCCGTTTCAAATATATTTCAATTAAATAACTTCAAATAAATTACTTGCAATACTTTTCATTAATTTCAAAATATTTTGTAGGTATTTTATTTTAAGGATATTTCTATTTGCAAAAAAAATATATAAGATACAATTTTTATTAGTTAGTAATTGACATGATTTGTATTTACTTTCAAATTAAAATGATACCAACCTAAGTATAAGGTATTTTTTTATGTCTTCACTCCTGTCTAAAGAGTCTGTACTTTTGTAAAGATAGAAAAAACATGAAATTATAGCATAGAATATTTAATGATGTTTTTTCAAAGCTGCCTTACTTAAACAAAAAAATATCCTTTCACAAAAAGAATCTATTCTACTATGTCATTTTTTAACTATGAATTTATGCAAATTACCTTATAAAGAATCCACTGTTTTGTGGTTTAGTTTTGATTAACGTTTGGCGGGAAATAAGAAGTTTGTTTATAAAATTTTGCGGGTATAGTCTTGATTGATTTTTATAAATAATAAATAGCTACTTTTTCATTTCATAGATCAAGCAATGCATAACAATACTGATTTACCGAATAAAGACGTGCAGGAGTTGGACAATGAAGTTCATCATAGGATTCATGTAATTTTTGTTTGTATTTAATTTTACACAAAGAATCTTCTAGAAAAGACTATACCACTGTCAATTATAAATATATTGACATAATCTAATGATGAATAGATACATTTAATACTCGGAGATGAAGATTAATTAGATCTTCTCTGAAATTACTTATTACCTACATATAAAAATATTGATTATTTTAAATCCTACCCACTTTTTTTTAGTCGAATGAACTTGATTACTTGTATTTTTTTATATATGTTTCCATATTTAGGTTGAAAGTGCGATGTCCTCCCCACATCACACAAAAAAACCTTGCATAACATTTGCTGAAGGAACTCAATCAACTGAAGTATCATCTTCACAAAATACATGGTAAATATTATTAAACTTTCGCAATAGAATAATTTAATAAAAAACTTATACAAAATAACATAGAATCTAACATAGTTTTATACGTATTTTTAATTTTTTTTTTTTGTGTTTAGTTTCTACAAAGATGCCCTCAGCCAACCAAGCTCTGACTTATCCCATCTGCAAAAATTGCTTTGGCTACAAAAACGACGGGAAACGGGATTGTGGGTGCAATGCGACGACTGCAACCGCTGGCGGTATCTACCACATATCGTCGATTCTCACGAATTGCCAAAAAAATGGTACTGCAAGATGAACTCAGGTAAGATACCTTTATAATTTATTTTAGTTTTCACTTTGTGAGACCAAATATTGATGGGCTATTTTATGCTATGAGCTTAGTAGGTACTTTAAAAACAACAAACACGGTTGTTTTCATAATATACAATAAATTTGCAACTAGCTTTCCGCCAACAGCTTTACCCGCGTGGTCCTCGAAAAACTGTTTGGTGGGAATGTAATAGCTTATAATTATCCGTATACCAAATTTCATTAAAATACCTTAATATAGTTTTTGCGTGAACAAGTATCAAACATCCAAACTTTCGCTTTTATAATATTGTAAGAAGTAAGAAAAGTTTAGGTTGGTCCAGTAGCCAACTTAATGCACTACTTAAGTGATAAAAAACATCAAGAAGACTTGAATGAATGATAATTTACCTAAAATCTTGAGTGACATACAAAACTCAACTTTCAGATAAATCAGCAGCCGATTGTTCGGTGCCAGAGGTACCTATAAAATTGCGCGAAGAGGAGGATCTTATTCACAGCGAGTATTCGGCGGGATCAGTAGTATGGGCGAGACTGGCCGGTTGGCCCTGGTGGCCAGCTATGGTGGATGACTGTCCGGACACCGAACAGTTCTACTGGCTCGATGGATTCTCAGATATTCCCGTACGTCTCTTGACATACGTCTTACCACATTACGGGTGTAGACAGTAAAAGAAAATAAATATTTTATATTCGTTTGTTCTAGTAGTATTTAATATACTATATTACTGATTATAGCCGAATACACATAACGAAACTACTGTTTTGCATGATGAAACTAATTTCCAATGGCGGGAAATTTACAGTATCTCTGAGATACTGGATCTGCCAGCATTGTAGATAGGTTTCTTTTGCACAGACACTGTCGCAATACTAATTTCGCCATGTAAATCATTTTAGTTACAATCTTACTTAGTTTTTAAAAGGTAACAAATGCACATACAGTCAGTTGACGACGGAATATATCTAGTCACAGATCGATTGACACCATTCGATACCTAATACGTTACCTTATAATAAAATAGTAGATATGACTTGCATTTAGAACTTATTTAGTCAGTATTCAGCGCACCCAGATTCTTTGGGGGCAAATCAGAGATCCTATTAGCATTCGGCAACATCCAGAGGCCATCTGCTCTACTGTGTAAAGTTTCAATGAATTCTATATAAAAGTCTATATTAAAATTGAATAATTTTTGGCCCCGATGATAGGTACCCTACCCTAGGGCACCTTCGACCCATATGCGCAACCAAATGATGTACTTATAATTATTTTATTAACAATTTTTATTTAATCTTTAGACCCATTACAACGTGGTATTCTTCGATGCTTTCGAGGTCACTAGAGCTTGGATCAGCCCAGAAAATTTGAGGCCGTACTCTTCCAACAAGAATTCTCTAATAAACATAACCAAAAATAAAAGATTTAAGAAGCGATTGGACGTTGCCCTAAAACAAGCTGACGACGCCGACATGCTGCCTTTAGCTAATCGCTTAAATAAATATAGTTTCATTAATAGATACAAAGGAACCATTTGTAAACCAAAAAAAATAAGCAAGGAATATATAAAAAAATTCAAGAAACAGATAACAAAGCAGTTGAACGTAGATTACGTAGATGAAAGCGACACGGATTCTATAGAAAGTTCAGATTCCGAATTGGCTCTGAGCAGTCCTAAAGGGCAAACAATAAAAAGAAAAAATGTTATTATAGTCGGCTCATCCAAAAGAACAAAGCAATCCTATTCTAACGTACAGGAGAAATCAGAACGCGATGTTACAGCAAATGATGCTCCTGTTGCTGAATCTAATACTGGCAACAATGAGGCAGCTACGGAAGTAAATGACAATACTGAGCTCCCAGATAATAATACAAATGTTTACCATAAACAACCTAATTCGATGACTGTACAAGTTAGCTGTACTCCGGCATTTGATACTATGAATATTGATAACGGTAAGACAATAATACGATATAATACAAATAGGTTTCTTTAATGCCATGGATAATTTAAGGTAAAACTACACTCACAGTTGACACCTTTCTATCATAGGAATAAAGACCGTTGTGGCGTCTAAACAAGCGTTTTAAAAGAGTAGACGTTTAACGGTCAGTTGCACAAACGTCCATTAAGGTTTAATGGCGCCTTTAGGCTCTAAGGAATGTCAAATTTGTATGGGTAATGTGGCTTTAAACTAATGACAATTTTAATGGATATTTGTGCAACTGTCTATAAGAAAGTAGTTCACTAGCTTAAAGCCTAAAGGGAGATCTGGCCTAAATAAGGTCCCGTACTCCTTAACTGTTTAGAAATAGCCATCTTAATAAAGTTCCTAGAAATTGGTTAGTGTACGCCTTTTAGTCTTAAGGTGTGATAATTTGTTTTCAGACTCCTCTAAAACATACGTTCCTGATAGTGAAACAGGCCCCGCATCGATGGATATTTCACAAACACAATCTGTGTTGCAAGATATACAAGTTTCCGTCGATTCACCCAGTAGCGACGATTTTGAATTTTAATATTCTAGATTAAATACTAACTTACATACTTTATTAATATTGCTTGTTAGTAATGTAGTTTGTATAAGTAATTTATATGAATATAATAAGAAAAACTACACATGATTTTTGTATTAATGTAAGCTTAGATGTTAGTATCTGCATAAAAATTCTAGCAATAATTCATTATAATGAAATTTAATTAAAACGGTCTTAAGATTTATTATTTCAATATTCACATTTCTAGGGATGCAACGAAGTAATGGAAAACATCGACGGTATATATCTGTCGTGGCCATAGTAGAATTGATCAATTCATGATGCGGCCGGCCATTTCATAAATGGTCGCATTTCATGAAATGGAAAAATAGCTACTCACATCATGATGTGGCTTGGCCAGATCAAAGAATAATCCGCGTTTAATGATAAGCACGACTAATAGTATGACGTGATGCTTCATGATTTGGCCAAGCATTAGTGCCCGATCATACATCGTAAAATTGATACATTAGTCTCCTTTAGAGGCGCTGATGTCGCATGTGTACACTACACATTTTAATTTTTACAAGATAGGGAGACCAAGCATCGATCAGCAATTAATGGGCTACTATTGAATTTCTAACCGTCTCAGTAAGATGGTTCTACGAAAATGATTTATTTATTCTCTGGTTTTATGAACATGGGTGAAGTCGTGGGAAACAGCTTTTAAGAGGAAATCGATGAACATACCTACTTTTATAAAAAATATACAAAGTACTCGTTGAAAATAGAAAATCTTCCTTTCGGATCTTTGTTTTAGCTTGGTGGCGTAGAGGATAAGCGCCGCGGCCCACGATCGTTGTTGTTAAGCAACTTTCGCAAGGGTCGGTCACGGGATGGGTGACCAAAAAATTATCATCTCAAGCTACTTCGTGCTTCGGAAGGCACGTTAAGCCGTTGGTCCCGGCTGCATTTGCAATCATTAATACCCTCCAATCCGCATTGGGCCAACGTGGAGGGTCATGGCCCATCCGCCTTAACCATCCATAAGTAAGGCCTGAGCCCCTACAGTGGGAGCGTAAAAAGGCTGACGATGATGATGACGATGGATCTTTTGTTTTGAGCTCATAAAATGTCAGCAAATTATTTAAAGTGATATCTAATGAAATCACTTTAAGTAATTTGATGCATTTTGATTTGTTATAAAAAGAAAACTACTTACTGATTCGATTTCGATCAAATTCAATAAATATCGAACATCGATGTTGGTCTTACGATGATGACATCGATGTCAACATCGATGTTTTTCTTATATCGATCATCCCTACTTTAAACTCAGACCACAGCGCAGAGCCAAACCGAAGAGTCAAAGTAGTTAACTGGAACGGTTAGTGTCGAATCCCATATTAAAATCACATTTTTTTTTTCGGCTCTCAACCTTAAGGGTTCGGAACCACCCTCCCAACGGGGGAAGGAGGCGATGAATCCTCCTTTATTGGATACCCCACGGCCAGCCGTGAGGTTATGTCAGACTCCTACTGACTAAACACCGCCTTGGAAAGTTGGTTGCGTACCCTGAAGGGGCAACGAACCTTCGACCGGAGCGACCGCCCCCCCGGAAGAGGGGGGGGAGCAGGAGGAGGGCGGCTCAGAGAATCATATTAAACAGCATATTACTTATACAATCTATCAATATAATCTGATACCGCGATGCATTAAATGAACAGTGCCATCTAGTTTGCAGACTTAGAACTATTCGGGCACCTATGAAGATGATGAGTGTGTTACAAATAAGTATCTTTGTCATAACAATATTCAAACAATATTGTCGCAAACTTGAAACTTCCTATTTAACATAAGAATAATGCAGCGACATTGTCACAAACTTGCCTCGTATATTTGACGTAGCAATTTAGAATCAAATAAAAATCAAACTTGCCCCTAGTTAGCATGTTATCTGGGTAATAAGTGAGCTTCAGAAGACCATGGCTTACGCAATCTTAGCTGATGATAGAGCAAACGTAGCTGGGAAAGAACAGCTGTCAATAGGCGTGCGGCTCTACGACGAAAGCAAAAGGAAAATCAGAGAAGAATTTATTGGGTTCCTTGAACTAAAAGCAATTGCCGAAGCGATTAACAATTTCTTGATTAGTTCTAACCTCCCAACCGAAAATTGCGTAGGGTTTGGATTCGATGGCTGTTCTTCAATGGCAGGGAAAGACCACCCTCTTTGCCATTTTGAGAAAAAAATACCTCGTGCCTGATATTTTCATTGCTCAAGTCACAAACTCAACCTTGTTGTGAATGATCCGAATGCAGTGCCAGAAATTAGTAAAACTGTCGCCACTGTAAAGGATGTTATAACGTTTTTAAAAAGTAACAAGTACTTGAAAGATTCGTCAGTCCTGTTAGATCCTGGGTAGCTCAGCGGTTAGAGCAGTCGCCCGGATTGCGAAAGGTCGTGGATTCGATTCCCATCTCAGGGACCAAGTGGATTTTTTAAGCATTTTGTATTAAGAATAATTTGTCAGAGAATCGACTACACGTCGAAACTACGCTCCAAACCTATCACGATTGTGTAAGACAAGATGGTCCGAAAAATATAAATTAATCAGAAAGTTTTCTCAACATTTCCCAGAGCTTGTGAAATCTCTAGAAACGTTATCCGTGGAGGGAAATTATGCCACCAGAAAATCTGCATATCAGTTGCATTCAGCCGTTACCAAACCAGTGTTTATTGTAGCTCTACAAACAATAGCCAAATATTCAACAGTTTTGGAACCAGTAGTTAACGCACTGCAAGCTAAATGACATCGACATGATGTCGGTGGGGGAACACATCAAAAATATCAAGGACATTCTCGAAAATGACCGCGTGTTTCCTGATAGAATAAGTAATGAAATAGGTACTTCAAAAAGCGCGAGTTATTGCAATGGATTTGAACATAGAAATTTCGGTTCCACGTCTTGCTCACAAACAAACACAAAAGTAATCCGCTATCAGACAATGATAACGAATATTGGCGGCGATAATACCATACATTGATTCACTTATTTTATCGTTGAATATTCGATTCTCCCAAGAAAATACTACGGCATTTGCTTTAAGTAAGTAATATCCCTTGTATATGACCAAAACCAGCATTACAGACTTACACAAGAATGCCCATGCACCACGGCGTACACGTGGCTTAGAAGCACCATAGGTGAAGACAGGCTTACGGGTTTATGTCTGATGAGCGTACATAGCAATTATTTAAAAGAAAACTGTGAGTTTATTGAAAATACTGTCATAGACAAATTTTCGGCAAATCCGAAAAATTACTGTTACATTAATATATATATGAATATATCTGTATATATATTGCGATTATTTTAAGTGTGTAATGCAACGCAATGTGTGTAAAATTTATAAGGACAATAAATAATACACAAGAACGAAATAAAATTACTCGAGCTATTCTCGTAACCTTGTGACTGAAGCATAACGAGACATAAAACATTTTTTTTTTTCCAAAGAACAGTTCGTATTAATCGACTTGCGTCTGCGTAACACGAACTAATTAAATTTCAACTCTTGGTTTAACGTAATGAATGAAGAAGTATTAAAAAAAATAGTTCCCGAAAGCAAAGTAGATGTCGCTACGGTACGTTCTTGATTTCTCCATGACAACCCTTCCGGTTTTCTTTCAAGTTTAAAAGTAAATTAGTTTTCAAAACTCATATTCTATTTGTAATTTCTCGTATTTATATTGATATCTAAGTTTCGAATTTTTCAAATTTCAGATTTTTAATATTTTAGTTAAAAGGAACGGAAATGGCTATCTTTAGTCCATTCGTTTTCTGCAAAAATCAACTTATGCTAGAGACGCCATCTAGTCGAGGTACTTAGTGATTTCGTATTTAATGTACAAGAATCTATTATTTACTCACAATATTAAGCCAGTGAAATTCTTAGCGCCTCCGCGTATACTTATTTAGCAGTGTTAGTCGTTAACTTGATTTTAATGTGAAAGATCGGAAATAAATAAAATTATAAATAATAGAATTAGTATATAAAATTATATAGCTCAATTAACTATATTATAGTTCTTCATTTCATATTTTATACTTGGCGCAGTCATAGCGTAGGTTACATGAAATTAATAACAATCAATGCAAAGAGATAGGCATGATCCTACTCATTTTGTACCCACGGATTTAATATAACAGTTCACTTCTCCAGGGCTTTTGATAAAATTAATCATAGTGTATTAATAGAAAAGCTTCTGGGGATCGGTGTACATGGTGACCTACTTAGATAGATCGAATCATACATCAGCAATCGAAGTCAAGCTGTTGCGCTTAAAGGTTACCGATCTAGATTCCTTAATATTCCTTCGGGGGTTCCTCAGGGGTCCCATTTGGGCCCTTTCCTATTTTCTTTATATGTAAATGATGTAGGTCTTTGTTTCGCCAAGTCTCATTTTCTTATGTATGCAGATGATACAAAAATCTACAAGATGATTCGTAGTCTCGATGATTGTGAAAAATTGCAAGAAGATTTAAATAATTTTGAACATTTTTGTAGAGCTAATCATTTGTCCTTGAATTTAGATAAATGTAATATAATAACTTTTACTCGTAAACATAACCCTATTCACTTTGATTATAGAGTCTCTGATCAAAGCATAACTCGTGTAAATTCAATCCGTGATCTTGGTATAATTTTAGATTCGAAACTACATTTTAACTTACATATTGATTATATAATAGCCAAGGCATATAAACAATTGGGCTTGATCCTTCGCTTGGGTAAGGTTTTCAAAAATGGTAATACACTTAAGATTTTATATAGCGCCTACGTTCGCAGCATTCTCGAATTTGGTAGTGTAGTTTGGAATCCTCAGTATGCAGTTCATAAGGATAGAATAGAACGTGTTCAGCACAAGTTCTTGAAATCATTGAATTACAAAACTAGTTTTTATTGCCATGATTACGAAGAGAGCGCAAGAAAACATAAAATACAATCACTATCCAGTAGGCGACACTACTTAGATTCTATATTTCTGTATAAGCTAATTCTCGGTCATATTGATTCGGCAGCTTTGTTACAAAAAATATCACTGAAGGTTCCTCGATCCTCAACACGTTCGAAGAATACTTTTTGTATTGCGTTTTGTCATACGAAATATGCGCAGAATACCTTTCTCAGGAGAACATGTAATTTTTACAATGGGTTTTTGAATGAGATAGATATTTTTTCAATTTCAATTAATGTTTTCAAGGCAAGAGTGAGGGAATTATTGTTTAAATAGTAATTTTGTAATAATTAGTGTGGCTCATATGAGAATATACATTCATTCCCTTAAAAATGGGTGGTTTATGGCCGTAGTTTTGTTTGCTAATGGTGCACTGTTTATGTAATGTTCGTCATTTACATGCATTGCTTGCTATCGATATTATTATGCTGTCAATTTATGGTACTATAGGTCTGTTTGTTAACAGTAGCTTCAACATTATCTGTATGTGACTGTTTGATACCTGAATAAATAAAATAAAATAAAAATAACACCTTGTGTTCCATTGATTCGATTTTCCAGGAATACGATTCAATCTAAGTTAAGATCGTAATCTAGGGAATCGATTCGCAAAATCGGTAAATCAAATCGTAGTGTATCAATTTTCTAAAAGATTGATTCAGATAGGCCATCCCTACTCTGTAGACAATTTTTGTAATCTCTTTTTTCATTTCGGTCTGTCTGTGCTTTGACATGCGGATTTTAATTAATTTTTGATATAAACAAGATAGGTTTTCATTTCCAGATCAAAGGCACTTTCTATATTAAATTGACAAAGTTTCTTTCAAGTCTTGGTGTAAACTTTTACATCAATGGCGACCATATCATTAGCTAAAAGTTTGGTTAACCCAGGTAAGACTAACTCAGATTTTTTGCTTTACACAATGTTTAATCAATATCCAAACTTATACAATGAAATTCTCAATATGATAAAATTATTTGAGTAAATAGTTGAGGGCTAATTAAAAGGTACTATCATCCACAACTTAGTTAAGATTTGGTTATCTTGGTATTATGTAAAAGTATTGTACAATGTTAAATATCAAGAAAATTTTCTATAATTAGTATTATCATAACTTAAAAATACTGTCTCCATTGCTCTTAGCTATCAAACTTTAACAAAGTGTTTAATAATATTTATCACAGGTTATAAAGTTATTGATTTTTTATATTTCAGCCCTCAAATTTGTTTTGAAACAAAACCATTCTTCACAGCTGAGATGCTCTGTTACACCATTTACAACTCCATTAAGTATTATCCTCAGACGTCACTATGCAGAGAAACAAGTATATGAAAGAACTAAACCACATTGTAACGTGGGGACTATTGGACATGTTGACCATGGAAAAACTACATTAACAGCAGCCATTACAAAAGGTTTTTAGAATGATATTCTCTCAACTCTATAGTAAAAATAATACATTTGGTTAATACATCTATATGATATTCTATGCAATTAACTAAAACATTTATTTTTATAGTATTAGCAGATCTCAATTTAGCACAGAAAAAGGGATATTCAGATATAGACAATGCACCAGAAGAAAAAGCTCGTGGTATTACCATCAATGTCGCCCATGTAGAGTACCAAACAGAAAACAGGCACTATGGTCATACTGATTGTCCTGGACATGCAGATTATATCAAGGTATTGATTATAAACCTTCAGTATTAGCTTATCACAAATTAGCATTATTATTCATTGCAAATTCAGTCATATCAATTATTTTTCAGAACATGATCACTGGAACAGCTCAAATGGATGGTGCCATACTCGTAGTAGCGGCTACCGATGGTGTAATGCCGCAAACCAGAGAGCACTTAATTCTTGCCAAACAGATTGGTATTCAGCATATTGTAGTGTTCATTAACAAAGTTGATGCTGCTGACCAGGAAATGGTTGAGCTTGTAGAAATGGAAATTAGGGAACTAATGACTGAAATGGGATATGATGGGGATAATATACCTGTAATTAAGGGTTAGTTTATAGACAATAAAATAATATTATTATTCATTATGTTAAAACAAAATAACATACATAAATAAATTGAAGTTCCTAGTTATATAATAGATTTGTCAATTTTCAGGCTCAGCTTTGTGTGCTTTGGAAGGTAAAAATCCAGAAATAGGAGCAGAAGCTATAAATCAACTTTTAAAAGAAGTAGATTCATTCATCCCGACACCAGTCCGTGAATTGGACAAACCATTCTTGATGCCTGTAGAATCTGTACATTCTATTCCTGGACGTGGCACAGTTATAACTGGACGTTTACATAGAGGTAATATTGTAAACTAATTTGCTATTGTCCGGTTGCACAAAGGTGCGTTAAAGTTAAAGATGACTTTAAGCTCTATTTAATTTTCTAAATTAGAAAATACCTATCATTATATTGTTATCACTTTAAACTAATGAATGTTCTCACTACTTTAAAATAATGAACTTAATGATTTTTGTTTATTGCAGGTGTTTTGAAGAAAGGCACTGAATGTGAAATTGTTGGTCATGGTAAAGTAATGAAAACTACAGTAACAGGAGTTGAAATGTTTCACAAAACTTTAGAGGAAGCGCAGGCTGGTGATCAATTGGGTGCTCTTGTGCGTGCTATCAAGAGAGATCAAATCAAACGTGGTATGGTTATGGCTAAACCTGGCACAGTGAAAGCTCATGACAATATTGAAGCTGCTGTTTATATTTTAAGCAAAGAGGAGGGTGGACGTGCAAAACCGTTCACATCTTTCATTCAATTACAAATGTTCTCTATGACATGGGATTGTGCCACTCAAGTCTCTATTCCAGATAAGGAGATGGTGATGCCTGGTGAAGACACAAAGTAAGAAAGAAATCCTTGATATATCTATTCCCTTTTATTAATAATGGCCCTTCTAACAGTACAGTCAATAGCATGTCAAGTACCTATTTTCCAAATTTCTCTCAAACAATATTAAGCTATAATCAGTTAAAATTAATAATAATAATAATTATTATTTATAACAATATAATAATAATAATGTTAATTCAAAGTTGATTGCAGAAATTTGATATACATTCCTTTTATACTCTTAATTTAATCTAGTTATAAGTCCAGAAATAAGAAAATTCCTTTAAAACTTTCATTCCCTAGTTTATTAAGAGTAAGGTTAGTTTATACGGAATTTCTTAGAGTTCGGTTTTAGTAAGCACCTATTTCCTAAAAAGAACCTGTATGCAAAATTTGAAACTCCTAGCGCTGGTAGTTTCTGAGATTTAGTGATGAGTGAGAGAGTAAGTGACCTTTTGCTTTTATATATACTGGCTGTCCCAGAACTTAACTTAAAAAGCCGAAACGGAATGACAGGATGTTACCATCATAAGAAAAGTCAGAAAAATCTTGACCTAGTTAGGGATTTTTTTTATTACATATTATTCTTATTTTTTCATGATGGCCTTTTCGGCTTGGCGTTGAGTTCTGGGACACCCTATATAGATAAATGTAAATGTATTGGTACCTATATGGAATATGAAATGGTAATGTTAGTTTTAATCAATATTTAATATCGTATTTAAATATATTATTTAACAATAATAAAAAGACAGCTTATGAATTTGAATAGATACTAAAAAAAATAATTTTTTACTTATAATTATTTTATAGAATATAAAAAAATTAATTAAAATATTTTGTGACCAATGGTCAACATACATTAATTAAATAATTGCAAATTACAAGCAAAGGTCTAATTTTAAACTATATTTACCTACCCAATAACAAAGTCGAAGAACCAGTTTTACTTATAGAAAGCAATTTATATAAATTTTTGAATGTTCTTTCAGATTGCTTTTACGGCTTCTCAAACCGATGGTATGTGAAGCTGGTCAGCGCTTTACTTTACGTTTAGGCGATCTGACTCTCGGAACAGGAGTTATAACAAAGATTAACAATAATTTATCTGAAGAAGATAGAATTCGACTTTTGGAAGGAAAGAGGGCACGAGAAAAGGCCGCCGCTAAGAAGTGAAGTGTTTACATATTTATTTAAGTATAGCTGTAGTTCCCTTATCATTATGCATTTAAAAAATGAATAAAAATTATGCAATAAAACGCCCAAAATATTATTTGTCTTTTTTCTTCAAAATAATATTATTATTGATGCGCCGAATAGTGGTTTCATCAAATAACTTTTATCGAACCGAATATTCGACCGAATTATTATATAACATAGTTTCTAAGTACTCCTTGTAATATAGTAATAATAATTCATTTATTTAGCAACCACACAATCTACATATAACAAAATGAATGAATAAATAAACACACACCGTGGCCCTAAAAGGTATCTAACAATGATTTCGGAAGCAGAACTATATCTATATATGCTAATAATAAAGCTGAAGAGTTTGTTTGTTTGAACGCTTAAAACTCTGGAACTACTGGAACGAATTGTATTATTGTTTTTGTGTTGAATAGTCCACTTATCGAGGAAGGTTATAGGCTATAAAACATCACGCTATGATTCATAGCATATGTGAGTATGCTATGAATCATTGCTGCTCCACTCAGCAATGAAAATTGTTACAAAAATGGGCTATTTTCCTTTTTTTAAAGATTTCCAAACGTGCGCTACGTAAATAGTGAAAGTTACGCAAAAATCATGTATTACGAAATTGATCCTCTTTAAAAGTTCTTAATAAAAGTCCGCGGCAACATATGTCTATCTCATATCTTATCATGAAAAGAAGCTCAAAGAAATGAAAATGGGAGTGGATGTTCGTATGGATAGGTATTTATGTATTTTTTATTTATTTATTTGCAACATACTATTATTATCAATAAAGATATTTAATAATGATACACCGGATAAACTAAAATTGTTGCAACAAAAATTATATAAATCCTCAGACCAAACAAAAAGTAAAGACGGAGTTCGCTGAACAACAAAGTGAAGCCAATTTTTAGCAATTGTAGTGTTTTTTTTTTTTTTTTTTTTTTTTATTGTTTTAACGGCACTGGGTTCTTGCCCTTTTTGCCAAACTTATTATTGTACAATCAGTTCATTATAAAACAAGGAAAGATAAATCCATGCACTAAATAGTTAAATTAGTATTTTGTATATAATCATATAAAGCTTTATAGCATCTTGTATCACTGAGGAGCGTATGTAAAACTTCACTGTTATTGTCAAGAACATCACTGTCACTGTCACTATTTAGATTTGTTACCTCACTCGCTAAAATCAGTCTATGAATTTTAAAATCTTGCTGTTGGCATTTCAATAATAAATGATTTAAATCGGCACCTTCTTCGTTACAATAAATGCACTTAGAGTTGCTGATGATTTTCAGTCTGTGCAGATGGGCAGGAGTTTTGCAGTGGCCAAATCTCATACGGCAAATGGTGGTAATTAGATTGCGGTTTATAGATCCTTTAAGTTTTGATGGATGGTACCACGGACGAGCGGGCAATGTCTTCTGTATGTCGTGGTACCATTTCCCCTTTTCTAATGCAATTGCATGCCAATAGTTGGTCCACAACAGTTTGTGGGATTCTGTTAGGTAGGTGTTAAAGTCGGTGTACGGTACTTTGCATATCTGACTGTGGTCTTCATCAGGCTTATTTCTGGTGACTTCATCTACGATTTCGTTCCCAGTGATGCCATGGTGTGATGGTACCCACAGAAACTTGATACTTATTCCCTTATTTTGTAATATATATAGTTGGTTCTTTATGTACAAAATTAAATAATTAATGTTATTTTTAAATACCTTACTTTCTAAACTATTTAGGACACTCATTGAGTCTGTTATAATAATAAAATTCTTATTTTCTACAATATTATCTATATATAAAATTGCTTTATATATTGCATAACATTCAGCAGTATAGATACTGCAGCTACTATCTAATTTAAAACATTTAGTTTGTTTTAGTTGAGGGTCATATAAAGCTGCAGTTACATTATTTGTATTTTTAGATCCATCAGTATAAATTTTATATTGAGGTATTTGTTTCTCAAATAAATCTAATAAGTCATTTTGATGATTTATTGTATGAGTAATTATATCTACTTTAATATTTATAAGTTGTTTGAGACTAAATTGGTATAATACTAAAGGGTTACAGGTAAATATATTTACAGCTTTTTCTTTAATGTGAATGATAATCCTCAATAACTCTGGAAAATGCCCTGTTATCAATTGGTTAATATTAATATATGGGCCAACTGGTAGTTGTTCCTGGGGTAGAATTCTATTAATAAGTGGTTTATTTTCTGTGGCTATTAATTTGAGACAGAATTTTTCAGCAATTTTTAATCTATGCAATTTCAGTGGTGGAATACAAGATTCACATTCCATTGCATTTATAGGAGTCGAACACATTGCACCAGTAATAATTCTTAGTGCCTTATTTTGAATAACATCGAGTTTCTGTAACTGTGTACATTTGGCATTCATATAGGCAAGACAGCTGTAATCAAAGTGACTACGTACTATGCTTTTGTATAACATGCTAAGTGTATGGGGATCAGCACCCCAGTGAACACCTGCCAATGATCTAATAATGGTCAACCCTTTATTAGCATTTTTTGAAATATATTTAATATGGCTTTCAAATGTTAATTTAGGATCTACATACACCCCCAGAAATTTCTTTTCAGACAGCCATGGAATGGGAACACTATTATATTTAACATTGTTATCACAAATATTTGATTTTTTACTAAACAACATGGCACCACTTTTACTAGGGTTAATTTTTAATTTCAATTTATTTTCATAAAAATTATGAATCTGTATAAGGCCTTTGTTTAAATTATTTACAGCAATATTTACATTTTGATCTATAGTATATAAAACAATATCATCTGCAAATTGAAGAAATTTGATATTTGAATTTTTTAAATAAGTGGTAATCTGGCTGGTGTATATATTATACAACAATGGTGATATTGTTGCACCTTGCATGGTGCCTTTATATACAGAATTTGGACCATGAAGAATGTTATTATATCTAACATACATTGTTCTCTCAAATAAAAAGTTAAATATCCATTTACATATTTTTCCAGGAATTCCAGATTCTGATAAAATATGGACAAGTATTTCAGGATCTACATTGTCAAAAGCTCCCTGAATATCTAAGAAAACACAAGCTGTATTTGAGTGACTGAAAAAAGAGTTTTTGATATCGGTTATAAGGGAAATAAAATTTTCTGTTGCACTATGACCCTTTCGGAAACCAGACTGTTGTACAGGTAATTTATTGTTACACTCAAGATACCATTCCAATCTTACTTTTAACATATATTCAAATATTTTTCCTATGCAAGATGATAATGCTATGGGTCTATAAGAATTATGATCATTTATTGGTTTATCTGATTTCAAGATGGGTATGATACATTGTGTTTTCCAAGAGTCTGGGATTTCTAGTTTATTCCATAATAAGTTATATATTTGCAATAAAATCTCTAGGGCATTTGGATGCATATTTTTCAATACTTCATAAGTTACATTATCTAATCCTGGGCTAGTATTTTTTCTACTTGCTAGAGCACTTTGCAACTCTTGCAATGAGAATGGTTCAGATAAGAAGCTATTTGTATTATTATCATTTTTATTAAAGATACTAGTTAAATTTGAATTATTTTGTGAATTAGCTGGTGGAACTGATGGAGCATATTTTTCTATAAATTCAGGAATCCAATCATCTAATCTAAATTTATTTTGAATACCTATGTTTTTAAATCTTTTCATATAATTCCAAATAATGCTAGTAGGTGTATATCTGTTAAATGATTCACACAACTTATGCCAACTAGTTCTCTTTTTCTTACGAAGTAAAAGCTTTTTCTGTGCATCAACTTTTTTGTACATAATGTAGCTCTCAATGGTTCCATCAGATCTGTATTTATTTAGTGCTTCTTTGCTGAGTCGAACTGCATTTAAACACTCATTATCCCACCATGGAACTGGATTTCTCTTAATATAGTGAGACTCTTTTTTAAATATAGGGATACATTTTTTCATAAGATCTATCAATTTATTATAAAATATGTTGTATGATTCTATAGGGTTACTATTATCATAACAAAAATTTGAAAATACTTTTTCTGTTTCAGATTTGAAAAGAGACCAGTCTACCTTATGAAATAAGAACTTCTCACATGGTGTGCCAACAATGTATTTATCTATTGAAAGTTGCAATTTGGTGATAGTTGGAAAATGATAACTACCCATGGGATCATCATGTACTGACCAGTCACATAGAGGTGCTAAAGATGGACTTACACATGTGATGTCAATAGCTGATTGTCGGTGATGAATAGTACCAACTGTAGTAGGAGAACCATTATTCAAAATACACAAATCGAACTCATCAAGAAGATTATAGATTTGATTTCCTCTAGTGGAAGTTGTATTACAACCAAATGCTATGTGATGAGCATTCAGATCACCTGCTAACATTATGGGCTTAGGAAGATTTTTCAAAATTTGTTGTAATATATTTATCCTGAAGTTATTGTTTTTACCTGGTGGAGGGGTATACATAGTTAGAATGGTCAAACGACCCCTACATGTGACTACACTGATAGCTGTAGTTTGTGTATGTTCATAATATTTTGTTGGTATAATATTATATTTTAAATTATTGCGTATTAATATACCAACTCCACCATGACCATCAGGTCCATTTTGAGCTATAAAGTTATAGTTTTGAATACTAAAATTACTTCTATCTCTCAACCATGTCTCATTCAGAAGACAAATGTCTATGTCCTTTTCATTAATAAAATTAACTAGCAAAGGTTTTTTAGAGTTTATACTTTGTACATTAAATTGACATATATTAATAAATTTTTTATCCATTTTTAAGTTTGTCTATTAATACTTCTTTAATAACAGAAGAGGTCAACTTTCTTGCATCATTCCCCAATGCTACTAGTGTACCTACTAATCCTTTAAGAATTATGTCACTTTTTAAAACTTCATTTAGTAACTGTTCAGATGACATAGGTTCATAAGAAGTAGTAGATTTCATAGTTTTTGCGGGTAATGCCGGAAAAGTAGAATTATAATTATTCATGAGATTATTATCGTTTTTAGTA